TATATATATATATATATTATTCTATGATATACACATGTAAGTATATTTATATAAGAGTATAAATATATATATATACATATATTATACATGTATAAGAGAGAGTATACTTATATAGAGAGTATATACTTATATATACTTATATAAGAGAGAGTATATATTGTATATATATATATACTATACATATATAAGAGAGTATTCTTATACATATATCTGAGAACAAAAGGAAAACCTGCATATACAAAAACCCTCAAATCATAGGAGCCAATCCTTGCTAATATCAGGACTATTGAGGACTATGTACAATATCTCCATCTTAATCTCTCTAATCACAACATCTGCTCCCTTGCTTTTCTGTTGAAACAATCCGTTGTTTCTTTCCCGCCATATAATGTAAATAAAAGTGACCATGACCATCCTCTTGAGCTTTTGATTAAAACCCTTCCCTCTCAGGCAGGTAGAGAACCAGTTCAAACAATGATTCCAATTACAAGATTTTCATCTACACTTTAGCCAATCAAAAACACAATTTCATACGTAGCAAGAATACTCACAATCAAAAAACGGATGATCCCCGGATTCGGCTGAATCAGAGCACAAGCAGCAAGTGTTTAAACTTGTGATCCCCCACTTTAAAATCCTATCCTAAGTTAGTAATCTATCATGTATAGCCAGCTAGCATATGACAGAGTGCTTAAGGATATTTAATATCTCCCAAACTAACTTCGACCATGATACATTGCTTGCAACTAAGGAGATAACCACATACAGGATAGAGAGTTTGATTTTTTGCACCTACATAGTATGAGCTGATCATGTTCTTCAAATTTTCTACTCCACCACTGAAAATAAGAGCTTTGTCCCTTGTCTTAATCAATTATTTCCACATCCATGAGTCTCCCTCTCTTGCTTTTACATGCCAAATGTCTATTTTCTTCAAATATGTACTATGAATCCATTTAATCCACAACAACTCCTTATTAATACGATTATACCATATACATCTCAAAACCGATGCATAATTCCACACAGGAGCTGAAAACAGCCCCAAACCACATTGATCCTTTCTTAAACATACTCTCTCCCACAACACATGTAGAGTTCTGAAGTTTTGACCTTATTTACCCCATAAAAATTTCCTGCATAAATCATCAATCCTCTGAAGAACCTTGACAGGAAGGACAAAATTTGAAATCTAGAAAATTTGTATTCTAAGAATCACACTTTTGATCACTTGCAGTCTCCCAGCATATGAGAGATTTCTTTGTTTCTTCCAGGCATTGAATTGTCCTTTAATTTTTGTGAGTAAAGGATTATAGTCTAAGAACGACAACCTTTTAGATGCAAGGGGGACACCCAGGTATTTTAAAGGCAATTCTTGAAAAGTGAAACCCAACAAGTTATTGATAGAAACCTTTGTTGATTCATCCACACCCCTAAAGAAAATAGAACACTTTTCAGGGTTAGCTTCAAGACCAGAATTCCTACCAAACTCCTTAACACATTGATGTAACTTATGCACAGAGTAATGATCTCCTTTAGAAAAATAAGAGAAGGTCATCAACAAATACCAGGTGTGTGATTTTAAGACTACCACACTTTGGATGGAATTTAAACATCCTGTCAAGTTTTAAAAGACCCAGCTTCCTTATTCCATTCCCAAGATGAAGCGATAATAAGAGAGAGGGTCACCTTATCTTAAGCCACGTTCACCCTTGAAATAACCATAAAGAGAACCATTTAGAGAGATTAAATATTTTGGTGAAGTGATACATGCCATAATCCATTTGATCATAGTATCTGGAAAGCCCAATCCAAGAAGCAAGTCTGATAGGAAACTCCAACTGATGGTATCAAACGCCTTCTTGATATCAATATTTATCATGGCCCTTGGAGAAATATTTTTCCTGCTATAATTCTTGATCAGTTCAGGAGCAAGCATGATATTACTTGAGATTTGCCTCCCTTTAACAAAAGCACTCTGTGCTTCATTCACAAGATACCCCATCACTGTTTTTAATCTGTTTGATAGCACTTTTGAGATGAATTTGTAAATACAATTACAACATGATATAGGTCTAAAATCAGAGGGGGTTCTTGGACATTTAATATTGGGAATAAGAAAGATGGAAGTTGAGTTCACCATACCTAGCAATTTCCCATTCTTGAAAAACTCCTATATAGACAAAATGATTTCCTCCCCTATAATAGGCCATGAAGATTTGAAGAATGTCATACTGTATCCATCAGGACCAGGGGCCGTGTTTTCAGAAATAGAGAAAGATTGTAGTTTTTATTTCTTCCTTTGTAACTTGAGAAGTTATAGAATTTTCTTGAGAAACTGATAAGCAAGGACCTGATTTAATAATGCTCTTATCTGGAGGAATTGTGTTCACAGTAGTACCCATAAGGGTTTTGTAATATGCAATTAATTTATTTACAATTACTTCTCCATCAGTGATTTTATCCCCCAGATTGTTATAAAGAACAACCACCCTATTGTTGTATTTCTTTGATTTAGCTATATCATGAAAAAGACTTGTACACTTGTCACCTTGAAGATTCCATGTAATCCTGGCTTTTTGTTGATAAAAAGATTCACAATCTAGGAGCTTGTTGTATGTTGAGATACACTCCTTCTCCTGAGATATAAGTGTAGGGTTAAGAGGATAAGCTTGAAGTTCCTTTTGAGCATCCTCTAAAACAATTCTAGCTCTTTGAACTTGCTCGCTAATATTGTAAAAATACTTTCTGTTTAAAGCCTTTAGAGACTCTCTCAGCAGTTTAAGCTATTTACAGACTGAAAACATTTTGTAACCTTGAATTGCTTCCTTCCAGGTATTAGAAACAGTGGGCAGATAACTGGGATGTTTAGTCCATATTTTGAAGAATTTAAATGGCTTTTCCCTTGCATACATTCTTCATAAATTGAAATTTGAGCAGGAGAATGATCTGAGAAACTAGGAAGAAGGAATTCGGCATGACTAGCATTATAAGTATTTATCCATGCATCATTAACCAATACTCTGTCAAGCCTACTCCAGATTCCGGAATCAAATTCTTGCTTATTGTTCCAAGTGAAAAAAACAACCTACAATTTTCAGATGAGAGAGCAAATAATCTTCAATGAAGTCCCTGAAATCCTAAGTATCAATTTCAGATAAAATTAAACCCCCTAATTTTTCATCACTGCTTATCATAGAATTAAAGTCTCCACAGAGTAGCCATCGTGAATTACAAATACTTTGATTAACCTGAATGAACTCCAGCCAAAGATCTTTTCTAGCTTTAATTTGATTGAAACCATAAACTGATGATATGATATAGTTTAATCTACCATCTGCTGATTTTACTTTGCATGAGATGTGTTAATCAAGGGACATTAATGGTTGTACATCCAAAATATTAGGATCACATATGATTAGAATCCTTGCTTTGTGAGAGCTCCTGACATTTGATATCCATTTCCAACTACTTGCAATTTTTTTGGTAGATGCAGGTAACATAATATCTTTTATTTTGGTCTCAAGCAGAGCAATAAAAGAGGATTTATACTGATACAGGTGTTGCTTGACCAAGTGTTTCTTAGAGAATTTATTCAATCCTATAACATTCTAGAATGTTTGATTCATTTAGTTTTGTTCCCCTATATCCATTTTAGAGGGGTCAAGATCTTCTGAGAAATCCAAAGGAAAAAAAAAGAATTTATTTGGGTCTTTTTTGAATTTTTTCCTTTAACCATCATCCATGGTTTATTTACATTTCCAGCATGCCCAGATCTATGGATAATTCTGACCTCAGTTCCAGATATTAAGTCTTGTTGGAACAACACTTTACCATCTTTTGAGGCAGATTCTTAGACATGCACAACATGCATAGGTTCCTGACTTGAGCTAGAAGGTTCATTTATTTTTTTTGATTGTGTCCAATATCCCTAGAGAGCTGATTTGAAGTACTACAATTAACAGAGTTCATAATAACACCAGAGGTGATTCCCTGCCCATTTACATGCTCAGGTAACGTAACTGAGAAATTATCAGGCAGGTGAATATTTGCATAATTCTCATTACTAGACTTCCCATTCTGAATTGATATCTCTTTTATAGGTATCTGAGATGGATTTACAACTTTTCCAGGATTCACATTTCCTCTTAGAACATGTAAATTATCATACCCATCTGGTAACACAGGTTTATCACTTTTATCCCCAGGAACAAAAGTAGAATCCTGCACAATCACTGTTTTCCCCCTTATCAAATTACTAACATTCTATTTAGGGATCCATTTTGAGTCATTGGTTGCCTTTTACAAAAATTTGAATCATGGCCTACTTGTTTATAGTAGTACACCATCTTAGTTTAAGCTCATAATTCACCCTCTGAGAAAAATGTACACCTTTTGGCCCTTGAATGGATATATGATCAGGAGAGATGCATGCAAGGTTACCTCTACCGGAACTCTGGCATATGCAAGTATCTACCTTCTAGCTGTGAGTTTATCAGTGGTAATAGGCTTTCCAATAGTACTCACAATCTTACTAATACTCATTGCATTCCACAAGTTCAATTTTAAACCTAGCAATTGAATCCATATTGGGTAGATACATTCTTTTATGCTATCAATTTCTTTATTTACTGTCCAGGGCTTCAAAAGTAGATGTCTCGAGCCAAAAAACCATGGATCCCTTTCAAGAATATCACACATTTCCTCCTTATTTTTAAATTTGAATAAGAAAACTTCAGATTTAGAAGACAAACTTCTGGATTAACAATAGGAGCCTAAACCTTTTGCTCAAAAATTTCCATTGCTTTGAATTTTACATTCAGACCCATAACCTGGCCAATTAATGAAAATTTCCATATAGAAATACCTTCATTACATTCATCTTCCTTAAAGAAACAGTATCTTTAGAAGTAGGCGGCAAATAATCCAAATTAAAACCATTCCCTGGCTTCTTATTGTCAGCAAAAATACTGACCCAACTTTTCTTAACATTATTATCAAGAACAGGTTTATCAATCGAAGGATTAAGCTGAGGAAAATCAGTTGATTTTAGACTTAAAACATCGGAATTCTCAACAGAAGTTTTCTCAATAGATTTCCAAGAAACACTAACACCTGACATAGAAACTGGATCTAAATTCAAATTTTCAGTGATTGATTTTAATGGAATAGTGTTCGTATCTGAACCTAACACTTGAATAGAATCTGAAGACATTTTCCTAGATAAATCACTTGAGAACTGCTTCCGAAATAAAGAATTAGCCAGATTATCCACCAGCTCAACTTCATCAGCCCAAGATCTACCATTAGAACATCCAGCAATATTATAAGAGTTAAGCATCTTAACAGAGATCGACAACTTGCTGAGATGTCGAGATTGTACACCCATCATCTTAGGAGTAGCCTGAGGAAGACGAGAATCAACAAGGAAATCTGTAGATCTAAGAATCTCAATCATCAATTTCTTTTTCTTCTCCCTTTTAGGTCCCATTGACCCTATCTCAATACATGAATCTTCGTCATCTTCGGCAAAAGATATATCAGATTGATCCTCGAGAACATGCGAACTTGGATTTGAAGATCTTAATCCAATTTCTAGGATTTTTTTTTCACTTTTTTCTTTTTTTAGCCATAAGAGAATAAAGCGGGGCACAAGTTAGCTGCGAAGAAATTGCCATCTAACCTTCACCGTTAACCGCTCAATACTATAAATTTAAGCACACTACTTAAACACCATGTGTTTGGAAACCATGGTTTTTTTATTTTGTTGCATCATCAAAAACGAAAAACACCACACTTATTCAAAACACTAAAAAAATTGTTTTTAGTTTGGTGTTTGCATTTTGAGTCTAAGGGTTTTAATATAACTTCCAATATAGTATATTAACAAAATATTTAATATAATATATTTATTACATAATATAATATAATGTACTATAATATTATATAATATAATGAAATGTAATATAATACAATACAATACTATACTATACTATATTGCATTATGTTCTATTATTAAATATATATATTGCATTGTAATATTAGTTTCTTATTATAATAATACTACGTTTGATACCATTAGGTAGTAATATAATTATGACATTTTAAATACTACTATATATAAATTAATATATTAATTATAAATAATAATAAAGGAAAATTAATTAATAAATATTGGTAACAACATAAAAATATAGTAAAAAAACAATATATAATAATTTATTAAAAGTAAATAATCATATAATAATGATATAATAACAAATTATATAATTAAAATAATTCCATTACATTATTTCACTACTATAATATATTATGAATGTTTATTACTAATTTCAGCATGTTGTATAATACTTATATTTATTATTAAAATAATAACCCCTCTAAAAAGTAAGATTAAATATTAATATATTTAATATTTAATATTTTCATATTATAATATACAATAAATAATAATTTTTAAATTATAAAATGATAAATAATAATAATATATTATATAGTAAATAACTTACTAATGATAAAATGATATATTTTAACAAATAATAATATAATAGTGACATAATAATATAATAATAATAACATAATAATCTTGTATTATATAATAAAAATAAAATCTTTTTGTTAATAAAAGTTAATATATTAATAAAAATAACATATTTATATAAAAAATAATTAAGTATATTAATATTTGGAAATAATATTTTAGTGTTATGACATTACATAAAATAATTATTATATTACAAACATGTTGCAGTATATAATATTGTAATCTATTATCTTCGTGCGTGTGTGTCCATTTTGTATAAATATTATAATATATTAGTTAAAATTAATTATATTAATATTTAATATATTAATAATGTAATTAATACCAATGTCATAAAAGGTTAAACTATTTTTGACCAAAAACACTCACCATGATGTTCTAAAAACACTTTTGGAGAAAAACACCATGGTGCTTCAAAAATAAAACACAAAACTCATGGTGGTACCCAAACACACCCTAAG